AAACATCACAGCGACTGACGGCTGTGACTGACTCCCACTGCTTCAGCTCTCCCTGAATCGCTACTGTGCACAAGATGGCAGTATTCATATCCTGGATAATTCTGGGACATGTTATTATGTTATTTCTGGGAGAAAGTGGAGATGCATCATCTCGAGTAACTCCACAGGATTCACTCGCCTCCTCCTAAAGTTTAGAAGCTAAAAGTCCATTTTAAATAAAAGACTGATGCAAACACATGAATATTATGGGCTTTAATAACAACACCATCAGAGATAAGGACCAAAGGAGTCCGCAGCCGAAGATCAAGTCCCCAACAAGAATATTACACTGGTTGGTTGACACGGGAAACTGTTTTTTTCTTCTCTCCCCCATTAGAAATCATGATTATAGCTGTTCACAAAACTGTATCACATCATTAACGGGCACAGCGGGCAGCAACAGATTCTGCCGGCGTTCTGGTCATTGATCAGGGAGGAGTGTGTTCGCGTGATGCTGGTGTCGATGGCAGCGGTGGACGGGGGGGGGGCAGTGAGTGATTGAGTCTGCTTCTGCTGACAGGCTGATTACTCTCGGAGAAGTGAACAGGGAGCAGTAATGCACCAGTATACCAGAGAAGGGGAGAGTCAGGGATGGAGGGAGGGAGGGGTGCACCAGACCATCCCTCACCCACCCACCACTCCACCACCGCCTCCTCCTCCTCCTGCATCAGGGAGGAGGGCTATCCCAGCGTTCCCATCCTCCCAGCATCGTGATCTCCTCTCTGCAGTATCTCCTCCTGTAGGCTTGGCCGCGACATACATGAGTCCACACGGCTCAATTTCTCCTCTTGAGTTCCGGCCATCCCTCTGATTTGTTTACATGACACCTAAATTAATTTCACAACCCCCAAATAATTTCGGACAAATACTGATTTTTTGAAACATTATATTTTTTTTCCTCTAGGGATGAAAAAGACAAAGTTGATGTTTTCTTGTTCATTAAGTCGCATTTAATCTGAATAAACAATCGTTTCCTTGAGGTTCCATCCGGTGGCACATTGTTTTTGTCCCTCAAATGAACATTAACACCAATTAGGCTCTTATTGCAGTGAGGACATTAGATTAAGGCTTTGCTTCAATCCTCGGCAATCTCATCTGAGGCTGATTTTCCTGCTAAAGTCCCTCTGAGACACATCAGGGTTATAAATATCTAATAAACATCTGTATTGGAAGATCACTGCAGTTGTTATTTGATTGTACACTATGTGTGTGAGGCTACAACGACAGATAGACTCACATTTGTTTTCAAAAACAGCCGTTCTTTAAAAGTTCTGACAATTTCAGTGTGACTTTAGATCCCAGGGAATCCCCTCGTAAACGCTACGAGTCTCAAGACCCCACTTGCTGGTACACAATGTCTGGCATATAAACAAGGGCGTCCGCTCCACACAAGACTATTAATGTGCGTTTATTCCCCTCCCGGTGCGCTGCAGAACAATACACTTGTGAAATTATTAATTTATTGCTCCTCATGCAGTGGAAAACAGACTCAGACACAAAGATGAGCTGCTGCAGGAAGTCCCTGCAGCTGGGAGCAAAAACTTAGAAAACACACAGACGTCCATGCAGGAGACATTACAGATATTATTGATCGATCGAAACGTATGCAAACGGAAGGGATCACTGCTGTGTACATTTCAGATGCATGTGGCTTCGTGCTGTTATTGTAAAAACAAGATTCACTGTGTATTTTTTTAACAGCAGGAGCTGAATCTTTGCATTGCGCCGAAGTGAACGTGCCCGTGTTGTGATGGAGAGCGACCAGGGGCAGTGAAGCAGCAGCTGCGGTTCTCGTATCAACACATATTCCGCTGTTCACGCGCAGAGAGGACGCGCACGGCTCATTCCTCACCGGTGCAATACGGTGTCTGGATAAACATCTCTCCCCCTCACCTCCCCCACCCTCCCCCGGACAGAGGCCACATCTGAATCCGCGGTGAGAGGATCTTATGTGTGCTGTGAGATTTGAGCAGCCGCCTCCTGCAGCCCCCGTCTCTCCATCCTCACCTCCAGCCGCGCTGGTACATGCACCTGCCCGGGAGACGCGCGACGAGCCGGTTACCTGGACTGAGGCCTCTCCCGTGGCAACGTGGCTCCCCTCTCGGGTCCTCCTCCGGGGGTCCAGCCGGTCCGGCTCTCGCTCTCCTGGGGGAGCTGCTGGGATTCTTCACCGCTCTCCCTCTCTCTCTCTCTCTCTCTCTCTCTCCCTGGTCCGCTGGAGGAGCTCCTCTCTCTCCCCCTCTCTCTCCTCCTCTCCTCCCCTCAGCAGCGGAGTCAAGCTGCCGTGCAGAACACCGGGAGGAGGAGGAAGCGACCGGGTGTGGGGCACAGCTGATTTCAAAATAAATCATCGTTCACGTCAATGATTTATTTTTTAAAAAGGGCTTTTAAATGATATTTATTTTAAATAAAAGACTTGAACTTGTACTTAGTTACATCCATGGTACATTAACACCATTTTGACCATGAGCACAGTGGGACAAATATATTAAATAATGTCAATATTAGACTTTGATGCTAATGAATGAATGTTGTTTAGCCTTTATTTGTTCACATTTAGGAACGGTAACAGAGCCGAATCCTCTATTTCTACTTCCTCTTTGCTGACCATCATTAAAAATACTGACAGGTAATGATAAATCACAACTTAATGTAGAAAGAAACTAAAATCTTGACAATTCTCAGGCGGGTTCTGTAGCTGAAGACGGTGTCGCGGTTGAAGCGGGTTTGATTGCGGGGGGACAGGGAAGATAATGTCGTGGGGAAGTGTAGGTCACACGGAATCTAAAAACACGTGTGTCGTTTCTTTAAACGCAGGTTTTCGTGAGCTATGGCGAATCTTCAATCACTAATCTGCCAGCGCTAATTAGCTTACCTTAATTGATGCTCAGTTTGCATCTGCTCAGCTCACACAATAACTTCCGCTCATGCTTCTCCCGTTCCTTCTTCTACAGTTTAAAAAGAGCCACACAACATGGTCCTCAACTGTCCCGAGTAAAGACAGTCCTGAACTCACGTTGAGGACAAAAAAAAGAAATTGCCCGGTTGTTTTATTTTGAAGGTACAAACCGGACGTGCTGTGTTATCTGTTAAAGTGGGGGGTGGGGGGGTGGGGTGCAGACTGAGCATGCGCAGAGCTGCTGTAATAAACAAGAGAAATGTGCAGCAATTAACACAAATATCCATCTAATTAAAAACACAAGAATAAAACACTGTGTTTGTGTCTGAGACAAAAATTATACAGATATCAGCAAAAATAACTGTCAGGAAAAAAATAAGGATGTTCCACAGTCAAATACTACTCATCAGTCCAAACATGAGAGGGAAGCTAAAAGAATCCAGGTACTGACAGTGAACCCTGACGGAGGCTTGAGTCCCTGGACCTGGATTCTTCGTGCCATTATTTAAAGTTGTCCTCTTATTGTTTGACATGCATTGTTCCATGAGCACCAGAGTTTCCAGTAGCTCTCATTCCAGTTTGAGGCTAAAAAAAACAAAACATTGCTGTTTTAGGAAATGATACTAATTTAAATTAAATTATAATGCACTAAGTGATTTCTGATGCAAACCTACATTTTGGACGTATTGTTTACGAAATAAAAATGTCAAGTTTTACTATTTGAGCCGCAGAATTTGACTAAAAGTCACAAAACGACCTGTACCTGCACATCACCACTAACTCCCCGAGGAGAAAAGACTTTGTTAATTCTAATTCTAATAATAATTTCCTAGACACAATATCTCCAACAATTAAACAAAACATTTAAGTAAAATCTGTTATCAGAGTAGAACTCACAAACACCTGAATGTTTGAATGTAAGACCAGTTGTATGTAGAGGTTGTTTATATGTGGGTTATATACAGTAGGTTGTGCACCTGCTGCTTAGTTCCTGCAATAGTTTGATGTGTTGGTTTAGCACCATCTCCTGGTCAACCTCCACTGGTGTAATACTGTGTTTGAGTTTCTCTACATTTGTTGTGTATATTGCTTTTGCTGCTACTTATGTTTGTGTTTCTTTTCTTACCGCACTCTCCTTAAAGAGCTGCGAAACAGACTCTTGTTGTTTTCACAAACCATGGCGATAAAGGGTTTTTCTTTTTTTTTTTTTCAAAGGTGTACTGCAGAGCTCAGTAAGATGAAATCCTTTTATATTATCCTGATATAATCCTCAATATTATATATAAATTGAAGGACACGAGGGATGAGACATGACCCAACGCTTTAAATATTGGTGCAGATCGGGATCAGTGAGAAGTTAGCGGGATCAGCCCTCACAGAAATCGAGATGTTAACGGTGAAACTTCACAAAGGAACCCTGCTGGTCTCTGAGGGCGATGCTGATGTGGTTACTGTTCACCTCTGAACCTCCTGCTGGCAGAAACCAGAGCAGTGTTCATTCAATTACAGGATAAAGAACAAAATCATTCAGGAGGAAGAAGAAAAGCCGTCGTCCGCCGACAACAAACGTAAAATGTGAGTCACACTTTGATCCATTTGAAGAATATGAACTTATGATTTGAGATGCAGCTTTATTTTTCCTCCTTATAAAGGGATACTCCACAAATAACACAGCAGCACAAGGGAAGTAAGAGATAATGCTTTATAAACACTAGGCTGTTCACAAATGGGTAATATAGAGATGGGGATCACTAACAGACAACTAGAGGTTGACTTTGCTCTATAAACAGATGATAAATGATAATATACCAAAATAAATACTGTTAATTTATATACACTTCAAAAAGGTCCTTATAGCTGCTGAGTTACATTATAGTGGATTCTAGATAAATTATTCATGATTAAAAATGCTAAATTAGAAGAGGGAAGGGGTTAAAGTTAAGTCTTACCATAAATACAATTAATCCGTGGTGGAAGTTCACTTTAAAACATTTCCCCAAACTATAAAAAATATACAGTAAGACTTGTTGTCCTGAACTAGGATGAATGAGAAGTCGTGGCGTTTTATAATAAGGTGCTGTTTATTCAACCATTTCATTTTTCACATCTCATGATACTCTCCTATAAAGTTTGAATTGTAGTATTTAGCATGTGTAATACTGACCTCAGCCTCTTCTCCCAGGCTTCCTGCAGAAAGGAGAGCTTTCAACACACATGAGCTCCCGTTTGAACTCCAACACCACCTCTGCCTCTGGGTACGTTTGACAGACGGAAACAGACTCTGGATTATAGCAATATGCTCATTTCCTTTCCACCTTGTCCATTTTTTTATTTTATTTTTTTTTACCCAGGGACAGAGGCTGGACGTGGTTAAGAGTCGGAGTCTACATCGCTGTCGGCTTCAGTCCTGCAAACTGTGAAGTGCTTATCTGGCTATTTGTACACACTGAATGTCTGGATTAAGTGCATGACCGGTTGAACTCTGACCCCAGGGAGTCACGACAGCGCCAGGGCCTCAGCGACGCACCGACTCGTCGCCTTTGACTGCAGAGCGCCCTGTTGTGTTCTCTCTCGGTTAAGACGGTGCAGGTTTGACGAGGATTAAAACTGGACTGCAGATATTTTGAGATCCAAAGTTCCTTTCCTGTCAGCATGCCTCTAGACTTGCACAAGCATGGAGCAGGAGTGTAGCGGCCGCCCAGTGACACAACCATGGCATCAAAAACTCACCATTAACATTGAGCAGCCTCATTGGGACAGCAAAGGTAACTCCCTCCATCTAAAAACACTTGGTGCAGACTCCCAATGCAACATTTGCATTCTTCTTTTTTTTCTTTGTACAACTTTAAGGCAGGAAGTTCCACTTTTTTTAAATAGGTCTCAGAGTTAAATTCATGCCTCCCTGCACAAGTTTTTGATTTGATTTGATTTTTTATTCTAAATAGAGGACGGGAAGCCTGGAAGTTCTCTAGTGTCCATCAGGCCTGATCCACTGAAACCACAGTCAACACGAGTCATCCCGATGTGTTGTGCTAGGCCATGTAGATGAAGGTGTTTATATCGGTCTCATCCCTCTTTATGTACTTGTGATCGATCAGCCACTCGATCTGCTCCTTGATCATCTTCTTCTGTGGTAAAAACATGTTCTTTAGGATCTCCACCAGCTCCGTCTGCAGCTGGGCGTTGTTGATGCGCTTCCTCATCTTCATGATCTGGATTATGGCCTCCTGGACGTGAGGAAACGTAAAAGAAAAGTGTGGAGAAAGGAAAAAAGGATGGATTACAGTGTAGCTTCAAACCGCAGATGTTTGTTCAAAGTCCAAGATGGGAAATGTAAGATGATAACGTTTATTCAGTGTCGCTGCGAGCTCATCTCCATACCTGTGTTCTTAGTATCCTGAGCTGGACGATGCCCTCGTTCTCCTCCTCCCTCATTCGCTCGGTGGTGAGCTGCAGCCGACCAATCAGGTTAATCTTCCCCCTTTTCTGAACCTTTGAGTTTTTTCTGAAAGATTAAATGGAAAACAAAACACCAACTTCCTGCATCAATACACAGTTTCACTGGGACTTGATTTTGACTTGTGTTACATCCACATCTTTACTTTACAGAGTGCGACTCGGCCAAACCGAGTAGTTTTCAAGCCAGTAAAGTTTCTTACATGAGAGAAAACTCCTGGTTGACGTAGAATAATGTTCCTTCTGCGAAGTCTTTGGGTGATGACACCACTGGGTCGTACGACAACACCTGGCGCTTCAGTTTGGGAAACGCCACCAGAGACTTGAGAAGAATAAGACGAGTTCAGAGAGGAAAAAGGTGGAAATGTCACAAAAACAATATTTCAGTGAATAAAATCTGTGAATCAGAAACATGAAGCTGCTGGTTATTTTGTGACAGACATGATGGAGCCAAAGTATGTTTTTCTTTACCCAGAGAGTGCGTCGCAGCTCTGCGTCCGGCAGCTCAGTGGCTAACTTCAGGTTTTCAAAGCTGATCCTCTCCCTGGGCCTCTGGTTCCAGGCAAACAGCACGGCCAGCTGAAAGGTGGTCACCTCCAGATCATACTGACCCACCTCGTTCTTAAATGTTATCTAGAGAAATGAGGGACGTGATGTTTAGTCCCTTTCACAGAGAGAGCTTCTCTGAGAACTTGTACAGTTGCACTCACGATGCCGTTGGACATGAGGTGATGCCAGTGCAGCTTCCTCCCACTGTGGTTCTTCTTATAGAAATCTTCTACCTCTGGTATCAAATCCTCCAGCTCTGTAGGAAGAGACACAAAAACCTTCTCGCTGCTCCTCGACCAGGCTCCAGCATTTAGGATCTTTATGTTGACAGAGTCCGCTGCAGGGGAACGTACAGGTACGTCTTCATTACTGAATCGTTGTCTCAAATTTAAAACAGATTTGCAGCCTTGAAGAATACTATAGTGTCTATATAGAGATGCACCTCTCACCTGGTAAAGCCAGTTTATTATGTTTGTGCATTTCTTTGAACGATTGGTTGAGGTCTTCCGACACCTTGATGTCTTGAAACATTCTGGCGAGCTTGTTGACATAGTCAGCAGGCATTCCTACTTCCTGTTTGGATCGATAAACCGTTAACAGTTTATTAAAGCGATGAAAATCTCAAATCTAATTTGATTTCTTTTCATTTTGAGGCTTCAATCAAACAACATTTCAGATTAGGAGTAAATCAAGTGAACAGTTAACGTCTAACACAGAGACGTCCACCCGTGTCCCTACCCTGAGCCACTCCACCATGTTCTCCTCTATCTCGCTGTCCGCTGAGATGTCCAGGATGAGACGTCGGGTCAGGTGGGCTTTGTGGTAGCGCATGAACACATCTTTGTTCTGGACGTACTTCAACACCAACAGCTTTAAAAGAGCACACAGATGTAAACCACACACATGTTTTTTAAAAACAATACAACGGGACACACGTGCTTGCTGAGGCGTACCACTTCCTTGAGCTTGGCTTCTATCTCTTCAGACGTGAGCTTCTTGCTCAGCGGGGTCTTCCTCAGGAGCATGTCACAGTAGTTGGCCAGCAGCTCTGGACATTTTGACTCTGGTTGAGTTTTCAGACCTACCCTGTACAAACAGGCAGAATAATAAACATGATTTCCTTCATCCTTCAAATCTAAAGCGGAATCTCACACAGGGATCTCTTCTCTTACCCTTTCTGTTTCAAAGGAAGTTCTAACTTAAATATAGTGGCGTCGTTCACAACAGCTTTGTATGCCTGTGGAGTTTGAAGTTTGAAAAATAGTTAAGAATCTGACAAGTGCCTCCTACAACCACAGCGTCCTGTTAGATTAAGTTGAGCTCACTTTGTCTCTGGCTGTGAGGAAGCGTGGGTCGTCCTGAAAAGCTTCTTTCACTAGTCGACTGAAACGATTGAACAAGGTGAGCAGCTGCTCCACGTATTTCTCTGAGTCCTGCAGCAAAGAAAAGGTGGTGAAACCATGAGTTTAACTTCATAAGCAAAATTAGAAATTATATTATTAAAGCTTCCTGATGCTAAGATGAACAAGGCAGTCCAGGGTATTCTCAAAGCTACTCTATAACTATGATATTAACTTTTTATTGTGTGTGACACTCACAGAGGTGATTGTCTCTGCTGAGGCCACCATATCCGCCAGGCCAGCGCTCATGATGTGCTCCTCCAGGTCCTTCAGCATGGGTTCGATCCCGTTGGGCACTTTGTCCATCAGAGAGAACATCAGATGTAACTCTGTGGAGGAGGAAAAAGAAATGTCATTACTATGTCAACTCCCAGTTAACAAGTGGTCAGTGTAACTACTTAAAATACAACTGCACACCAGCACCAGAGACACAAAAGCCTGAAGGACACTGGTCAGACATGGTGAGTTCATATGTCCCACGAGATGAATGTTTATCGTTGTGTTTTATATTCTATAGCTTGAATTACAAAATCCATAGATGCTAGACAATAAAAATGACCATTAGTCCTACAGTGGCAATTCAATACTAATGTTCCCAGGCTTGTCTCAGTGTAGCACTAAAAGTATAAACAGTATTAAATACCAAGCTTTTGTTTGGCGGCTGCATCATCAATCTAGCAGAGGACAGACATTAAATTCCATTACTACGGCTGCTCTTTGACCACTTGTTGAATCAAACTGCAAGGACAAACTGCAACAGACACAAACACACATGCACATACAAATGCAACTACAAATAACGATGTGTTTTTAATGCGGCACAAACACTGAGCACAAGTGTCTATCATAAAAATATTCTTAACATCTTCATTCAAAATGTTTTCTCAAGAGCAATTTGTTTTGTGTTTTATCTTTGAATCAAGAAAAGTGTGAGGGAACAAACATAATGCATGAGCGGGATTTGAAGAACCTGTGACGTGTGTTTCTGAACTCAACGGCGATTTGAGGACAGAACCTTAAAGCAGAGATGTATGGACGTTAATTGAATTGATAGAATGTAGAAGCTGTGTTGATTAAACTTTGAATCCCTTTCACTTCATGATGCAGTTTTGTCTTTCGTCTGTCTCCATTCTCTAAACCCGACTATCCTCACATGAACCATTACACATTAAGAGGACTGATGGAAACACACATAAACGTTCTACAAGATGCTGGACAAGAGGGCTTGGTCAGGGCTATTTCCTGGTGCAAACCTGAGCTGGCTGAGCCTTTGGTGGGAGCAGTCCTGCCGTACTCACTCTCTGTTTCATTTCGTTTGATCATGCCTGGACACTCGGCTAAGATGGTCTCCTTGAACGACGTTACTAGCGCGTTGACACAACATTCCATTAACTGGGAAGATGAACAGAGGAGGAACAACTCAGGAGAAATGTACACGTTACAGTTTTGGTTTTTTTAATGGCTCAAACGGATGATGTGTAACACTCACTGCTTGTACAGAGTTACAGTCACGTCTCGTCTCCAGGTATCGCAGTGCACGTTTCTCCTCTTCCCTCAGCTTTGAATCAGCCTGGTGACGACACACGTACATATTTAATCAACAGGCGTAAAACACATCAGTCATAGTAAGAAGATAAGTAAGAACATTTCTTTCCAGGGCCTCCGAATGAAATAAATCTACGACTCATATTTCACTCACATATTTCATGTAGTTTTGGACGCCATTTTGCTGGAGGTAAGCGGGGGCCTGTGTTCTGTAGAAACGCTCGGTAGAATCCATGTACGCCTTCTCAAAGTTGTCTCTGTAGATCTGCAGCTTGTCATCAGGGTTGGAGCAAAGATTCACTGCACACAGAAGAACACACCGGAGAGGTCGACAAGAGTCTGAAGAGTATGATTTACACGCTCTCATGGAACAACAGACCTTTCGGGGTTAAGATGTTGTACACGATAAGGTGACCTGGGTTACTGTTTCTCACCGTAGGACTCCCGCACTCCGATGACCAGCTGGGAGTCAAAGGCCTCTCCTAGTCTCTCAGCGTGGACGAGTTTCATAGCACTGTCTTGTAGCCTGTTTTTAATGTTGGAGAAAATTGACTCGTTCCACGTGTCCAGCATCAGCTGCATCAAGAAGACAGACGTGTTTTATTTACATGACGTGCTTCTTTGAATCACAGAGAAAACCTCTTTTTTTTTTAACTCTTGGTTTATGCTCTCCTGCAGCTTCTGACCTTGCGGACGATGCTGTCCTCCACGTTAGACTTCTTGTTGCTCCCTTGCTTCCCCATCAGAGTGATCTCCAGCTGGCAGAACGGTTTGGGCAAGATGTCGCACTGTGTGAAGAACTTCCTCCATTCCACTATGTAGGCCTTGAGTAACGCTGTGTCGTCCTGATGACTCAACACCCGCTTCGAAAGATTAAGAAGACATAGGGCAGGGCTGGTTGACTCTTGCAGACTCACTCAAGTAACAAAACAGAATCAATCAATCACAGATGCTGGGACACATATCGCAGTTTAGTCCTGGTTTTACCGCTTGTGCTTGTTTGATGAAATCTAGGATGTCCTCTTTGAGGGCCTGGTGGATCTTAGCTGGACCTTTGTCATCCCACAGACACACAGCATGGACATCTCTGTGGAAACACAGAGGAGACAGCATGTTACCTGTCCTGGTTTTACTGGTTAACAGCTGAAAACCAATCAGGGTGAACTTACGAGAACAAGTCAAACCACTGTTGTTTGGTGACAGACTCCTGTCGTAGGAGCTTCAGTACGATGGGACGCATCTGGTCCCATTTGTCCTCAAACTGAAGGGAGCCTTTGTTCTGGAAACACACCGGAGCAAAGTGAACTCTATTATTCAAACTGTTCATGAACTCTAACAACACAAAGGAAAGAACCATTGTTAATTAAAATTTAACATAAAAATCCTACTGTACAAACTTGTACTTGTTCCAAACTCCCTCTAAACATTTGACAATTTTTAACTAACAAACAGAAACAAACTTTGGATTATTTACCTAAAAATGAAGTGTTACATAAAACAACAACAATCAAATAACATGACAAAGACTGAAACAGCGTTTTATACTGAGAATGGAAAAATAAGGTAAATGTCTAAGTAGTTGTGTGCGTCTGTGTACAGAATTTGCATGTATATGTATTGTCCTGGTTAATGATTGATGTGTTCATTACTCCTCTGACTTTGGTTTAGGGTTTAATTAATCTGCACATTACTCTCATTGTGAAAAATCAGTTTTATACAACTCAAGGTCAAGAAAACTAAAATCTATTTTATCTATTATAGCATAGAAGAAGGAAAACAAGTCAATCCAACTCCTTGTTGTGATTTCTCTCCAAGTTAGATTTAAGTAAAACATTATGACAGACTTTTATTGAATTCATTGGATTCCTTCTGAAAAAGAAAATAACTTGGTGACAAAATCAAGGAAAACCTGAATCAGTGAGTCGAGAACTGAAATGAAGATGAAGTTTGATTTAGTGAGTATGATATGACTCATTTACTACAGACGGTAGATTTCAGAGCCACGTTGTCTAACATGTCCGACTGTGATACCTTTCACTTGACAAATATCTGAATAAATCACAAAGCAGCTGCTATTTCTCTCCAATTTAAAAAGTTTAAATCTTCTTTCTACTGCCAACAAGAATCCATCACCATCCCACACACATCATACACACACATTTAGACGTTCCAGTTTTCAAACAAAACTCCAAAGTTATGAAGCTGTGGTCAGAAAGACAGAGGCACGGGGACTCGGCCGGAGGTTTGTGACCATGGTGTTGTTGCAAGCTGCTGCTTTAAGTGCGTGTGCATTAGAAAGAGTTTTTACATTTGTCAACGTAGATATGTTTTAAGGGCGTCCATAAAATAACATTGTCATCTTGTGGGTTAATGGTTAATTATCAGTCAACAAACACTGTTATTGTTTGAAAGAAAATCTAAATGTGATCAGTCTCTCTGGGGGGGGTGGCCCTCTCAGCTCGGGGCCCCAGGGAGCTGCCTGCCTTGCCCACCCTGATGCAACGCCCCTGGGTGGAGACGGCTGACATGTGTGCTCACACGCAGGCTTTAACGTTGCTGTGTGTCCATCACACACGGTCGCAAATGTCCATCATTTCCTATACGCTGCACCCAGCACAGCTGAAGCAGAAAGTAATGCCGAGGTCGACCTGCCTGTAGGAGACGTTAAAAACTTGGAACTATGGGTGTTTTGATGGTCGACAGGTGGTGTGCACGAGAAAGACTTTGCACGTGTGTGTAAAAATGGACTGTGATAACGATGCGTGAGACACTTGTCCATTATATAACATTATCATCTTGTGGGTTGATGGTTAAATATCAGTTAACATTGTTTTTGTTATAAAACAATGAAAAACACCAATGTGATCAGTCTTTCTTGGGGGGGGGGGGGGGGGGTAGGGGCCCCTCTAAGCTCAGGGCCCCAGGTAGCTGCCTGCTCTGCCCACCCTGTTGATCCGCCCCTGGGTGGAGACAGCTGACATGTGTGTCTCTAACGTCGCTGTGTGTTAATAATGTCCCCTGCAGAAGACTCGTGTTGTGTCCCCAGTGTGAGTCTCTAGTAGCTGCACCCAGCTGCAGTGTGTGTGACTCCTGGCTGGAAGTGGCACCTCCTCCTCCTCCTGCACCTCCTCTTGACTGTGTCAGTTGTTGCTGTAGTGGCCATATGTTCCTGGGAAGCTAAGCGTTGTTAGCAGCACAGGATTAAATGCACAGGACGTAGCTTGTAGCAGCCTTTAGCTCACAGGGAGCTGCACAGCTACAGACACTCACTGACAGATGATATGAGATGTGTTGCACACGGACACACACACACACACACACACACACACA